TTTTTACACATGCAGACAAGCATATATAAGTTTATATCCTTAGTAATAATAGTTTACTAAAAGGAAAATGTAGTATCACTAAAGTAAATCCTTTTTTTTCCCTTGAAATTTGAGGTCAGGACATTTAAATAAATATGTTTTGGTTTGTTTTTCTTTACACAAATCTGATAATCAGAAAGAAACATTTAAGAGCATAGTTTGACTTGTTTATTCTAGGTTATTTGATTTTTCACAATATTTTCTCAGATCAAGGCAGAAAACTGTCTAACAGCTTCTAAAGATTCTTACTTTTAGATTTTCATGCAATATAGAGTGCAAAAAGTCAGTGTCTATGTGTATACAGATGCGCACATAATTAAGTGGTCCCCTGATGGAGAGAGGTATGTGACCGTGGTAACAAACAAAGTGGATATCTACAGACTTGACACAGCTTCAATCACTGGCACCATTACAACAGAGAAGAGAATTTCTTCACTTAGGTTTATTACAGTAAGTACAAAAAAGAAAGGTGTTGGGAAATTAACTGGTTTAAAACACATGAAATTAATCACACTTGCATTTCTCTTTTTCCCATTCCAAGGATTCTATCCTTGCCATAGCTGGAGATGATGAAATTATAAGGTTCTACAGCTGTGACTCTCAAAAATGCCTGTGTGAATTTAAAGCTCATGAAAACAGGTATTCTGTATTTTTTTACTATTTAGATACTTACGGCAATGCTGAGTCCTCAGTAAAGTTCAATGGCTTGTAATGTTCAGCATATTTTACTATTGTTTTTCTTTTAGTATAGAGAGTAAATTTATTTATGTGCTAAATTTCAAACTGGAGAGACTTGTTTGCTTTTAGTATGAGCACCAGTATTGTGCTGTCCATGCTGTCCTTGTTACAGAAACAAGGTATATACTTAGAATTATTACTGTTCTAAGTTTATGAGTGAGTGGGTGGGTGAGTGTGTGTGTATTTAACCAGTCTTTACTGATTCTGACTCTTCAGAATGCTTTAAAACAACAAACCAGTTTTATTCAATTCAAAGAGGAGTGTAATCACATATTCTCTGTTGTTGTTGAATACCAAATATTTATCCAAATATTGCTTTTAATTCATCAAAACACAAAAGCATTAGCAGTAATGTCATTGGTGTGTCTGACAGCAGATGCTTTAAAGTATTAAAGCATTCTGAATTGAATCTTAATGAGCCTAGCAAAGGCAAATGTTCCTAATATAAATGACAGCACCCAAACCAGATCACTGTTAAAGTTCCTGTCTGTCACTTGTGGATTTTCTGTTCAAACTGATTTTTTTAAACTCTTGCCTATTCATCTTTAATTTTTGTCAGCTTACTGTTCTGATGTGAACTGCCATGCTATAAAATAGAAACATATTACTTTTCTTTTCACAGAATAAAAGATATTTATACTTTTGAAAGAGAAGGACAGCATCTTATTGTTACTGCATCCAGTGATGGTTACATTAAAATGTGGAATTTGGATCTTGATAAGGTTGGTCTATTAAACTGCTTGTTACATTTATGAAACATACCAGACAACCAAATTTGCAGACAGCCAATTTGCAAATCACTGAGGAAATTTTACTTGAAATCTGGATGTCTTGATCTTCCTCCATGTTATGTTCAGTAGATACACATACACATATATTTATGCACTTCTATATTTTTTATCTTTGTAGGTTTTTTTTAAACAAACTATAAAATCTGATGATATTACGAGATCTCATCTCCTCTTCATATGTAAAGTCATGCTTCCCATCAGACTGACCTGAGCAGGTCTATGACTATCTAATCAGTTATATATGTCCTAAGGACTGCTATGAATTTTTGTAATGTTGATGACTGTTGCTACTCTTAAAAACCCAAACTCTGTGGTTTGGGGCGGGGGGGGAGGAAGGTGGTCGTTCATGTCAGAGGAAGAACTCATCCTTCAGAAAAATTCAAACACATTACTGTACTGGGTACTTGTATTTCCTGTGTTTTCAAGGAGTTCCCAGTAGCACAGTTCAACAAGGAATCATGTTTTATCTTTTAAGTTTACCATGTTTATGGTTTGCTCTTAAAATCAGAAATAGATTTTTTAACATTTAATGCCTAATAATAAAGGATCTACTATATTTCACTCTGAGTATCTTGAATAGTTCAAATAATTATTTCTCAACATTTATACACTTCATATGTCAATTTGCCCATTTTTAATTTTACTCCCTCTGGTTATTTTTATACTTCTAAGTGCAATAGTGAAATCCCTCTTTTCCCTTCCTCAAATTTCTGTTTCCCTTGTTTCTATTCCCTGTAATTTACATAGTGGTCAGGGAATTCTTTACCTTTCTCTGTAACACTGTATTTATTTTGATCAAATCTGTGGTAATTTGCTTTCTGTCCAGGCAGAGTTTTGTATAACTGTGTGGGCTGCTCTGTCCAGCTCTGTGAGGTACAATATCCTAATACAGTGATTTCTGATGTGTTAATGCTGTTAACGTTGTGACACTTTATCCTGATATCTGTAATAGGATATTTGCTCAAGTACTCCCAGAGCTGAGTGATACAATTGCCTAACAATGAAGTGGAAGTTACTTTCTCACTTCAAATACTTCAGTAAATTTAAACAGAAATAATGTGTAAATAATATTTTTTTTATGTTTTCTTCAGATTAAAAATGTGCCATCTTTACTGTGTGAAGTCAATACCAAAGCTAGGCTGACATGTCTTGCAGTATGGCTTGACCAAGTTTCAGAAATGAAAGAAAACTCTGATAAAGCTGCAACATCATCTCAAGGTAACAGAACTGTGTGTATTTTCAATTGTTAATGTGACAGTGAAATGGAATATACTACGTAGGAGGTTTCTACTATATGCACTGGAGAAAATTTTGGTATTTTGAAGAACTGGGGAGATGACACTGACAAGTGATACAGATATACTTATCAATCTGATGGTGTCTCAAGCCTATATGTTTGTTGGACGACATAAGCCTCTTTTCACTTTTATTAAAGTTTTCTTTCTCTTTACTTGAATAACATACTGAGGAAGTCACTGTGAAGCTTTTGAGACAGATAAGAAAATAAACAGATTGATTGGACTGCATGTCTTGTTTTCCTATAAACAAAATCAGGTCTGAGGCCATTGTAGTTGGGCAAACTTAGGAGGTGTGGCTCCGATTTGTTTGGGTTTTGTGCAGTTGTTTTTGTGTATTGTTATCTATTTACATACTTGATCTTCAGATATTTTATTTCACAGGCAAAACTAGCATAAATGGCACTTTCCACTGTAAAATAAAAAACTATAAGACTACATAAAGATCAGTGTGAATAATTTCTTGCTTTTTTTCAGCAAAAGAAGATGAAAAATCATCAATAGTCAGGAAAAACAAAGCTTGTCGGACTGATACAAGTGATAAAACAGCAAAAAAAAAGAGAAAAATTATTCCAGAGAAAAAAAAATTGGAAGCTCCATTGCAAAAGAAGAAAAGGAAACAGAATAGCTCGGCATGAAGGCAGCTTCTTTCTCTCCTGTATAAAAGTAAATGCTGGTGTTGCTCTAGTTTTTATAAGAATGTAAACCTCTAACAGGACATACACCTCTGAACTGATGAGTTGTTTAAAAGTAATTAATGTTCTTACCCTAAGAAATTGACTGATCGTTCTGAGAAGTATCAAAAGAATTAAGTGAAGGAGGCAAAAATAAATTTATAATATGTAATGTTTATATTTTTCTCTTAAAAATAACATATACCTTTTTAACTGGCTCTGAAAAAGGCAGCTAAAATAATAAAAATAGCTGCATCTGTC